GCCTACTGAACAATAAGAAATTCATAACGTCAGCTTTTTACCACTGAGACATCTCACTGCTTAGCAACAACTGGCACAGAAAACCTTTAAAACCAACTGGCTCAAAGTTACCGTCCTCATTTTGGAGTCTTGTGAACGGAAAAAATCATAAAATATGGTATAGCATAAGCAATTGTATATATCTGTGATGAGAACATTTTCTGAATGATTTATTTGCGCCAATTTCTCCAAGGCTGAGAGACAAAAAAAAACCAGGGAGAAGAGATTTCCTAGTCAAGTTGTTGAAATTCCAAGGGAATTCGAGAGGCACGTGACTGGCAAGGGAGGAGATAATCTTCGAAATATCAGCACGCTGACTGGGGCACAAGTGTTTCATCGAGGAAATAAGCGCTACGAGCTGAGAGGATCAGAGAAAGAAGTAAAACAAGCTGAACTACTTTTGAAACGCAGAGTGGTATGCAATTAGCCTCTTTATTACTCGTAAAATGTTGTTACCTTTATCTACACAGGTGAAGCTACGGTTAGAAAATGTTTTAATTGGAGAGCGAGAGTCGACGGAAGAGTGGAGGAAAGTTCAAAGTCCAAATGTCATTGCAGTCCTGTCCAATCCCGTGCATGTGCACCTTTTTCTACTTTTGGACCAAAAATTCGCACGGCGAAGGAGAAAATAGACTATAGAGAGACGATCCCAGATTTTCCTAGCTCTCGCGCCTTTTTTCGCTTAACTCGATGGATTTAGAAAAAAAGAGGAGCTCCGTGCGGTCTAATTTAGCGAATTTAATTTCACCTGCCATGTAACCTGAAACTTTCATAAGAAAACATCTCGTCGAAAAAGGTTTCACCGTCAATTCTCGTGGACTCTCTTATGCGTGTGATCGGTCGTTATCTTGAGGGCAAGAAATTATCCGTAACATTTGTTGGGATACTTTATCTTGCTTCGCCGCGGTTTGATAAATTTCGTCACGGTTGAACTCAACACGGTGTGGTGGGAGATTCTTTTCAGTCAGTTAGTATATATCCTTTTCTTATTTAGTCAATAAGTGACATTACACATAGAGCCAGCAGTCATTAAACTGATTGCCGTTCTAATAACGTCAGGTCAGAGTGTTCGGAGCATATCGCGTTTTCGTAACAAAGTGACTAGCTGGAGTATTTCTGTTAACTGGATGAGGTGTTGGTCCATCGTAGGCAGGTGGGATACATTAGCTGGCTCAAGTTATGCCAAGTTTTGTCGTTTTTTTATATATTTATTTATTTATTTACAGGCTTCAGCGAGAGTTAAAACGGACATCATTTGTTGTTACATTGACGATAGGAATCTGCCAGAAGAGTGTGATCTTAAGCTTGTGCCTGTTGAAGGGTTGAAGCGCATGGTGTTACCAGGATCACGCTCCCAGTATCGGCTGATACCTTCTGAGGACTACAAACCGGTTTGTGAAATGCTTAAGCTTTTTTTACACTAAATGTTCGGATTCACCCAAAGTTGTGGCCAAATGAAGCATCTAAATTGTAAAATAGAACAAATTTCCCCGAATAACGTACATTGATCAAAGTACCCTTGATTAATTTTCTGTCTCTTATTCATTGATTTCTATCTTTCTAGGTAGCCGGAATTCGAAGCGACATCCCATTTTATCAAGCTGGCCTCGTGGACCATGCACTGGAATGTCTAAATAAGATTAAGCAAGAAATTGAGTCAAAGAAATTTCAGGAAGCTGACATGTGGTGTCATTTTGGTACAGCTATTATTCGGGAACCCAGTGAAGGTGAGTATTTAGAAGGACTAGGAACTAGTCACTTCATGGGCATGCGCAATAGATTTTCCTAGATCCGCGAGGTCATCCTCAGAGACCCAGGGGCTGCTACAAGTCGGGACGATGCGATATTAGAAACCGGCCATATTTGTCTTCACAAACTAGTTTGGAGAACGTCGATTAATTATACCGAGTTAAACGTAAGAGGCAATGATTTATTTTTGAGTTTTGTCCCATTCAGAAGAACGGTGAGAAATAAATTAAATTAGGAAAAACGAAAAAGAAGGTGGAGGAGTGTTGTAAGTGATGACAAAATCGGCAAGAGTCTGTTCTAACTGTCATCAGCAAGGGGACAAACCAGCTGACTGCACGTGAATGATGACAGCATCTGCCTCAGCTGAAACGAGCGAGAACTCTGGTCAACTTTCCTGAGTTAATTTTAGCACCTGAGGTTTGAAGTCGACGAGAGAGCATGAAAGTCGGAGGTCGAACGAGAGCGATAGATTTCCAACTTTCTTCATGCATTTAGAGTAAGGGGTAAGCAAGAGCGCAGTAGATTAAGAAACTGGTCTCCCCTGCCAGGGGCGGGGGGGGGGGGTTGTCTCGCTGTCAAGTGGTTGAAGGAAGAGATGTACGTGTCGGAAAAGTGCCCCTAACCCGAGATGGTCGCATGTAAGACAGTTTTGTACCTTGGTTATGGCATTCAGCAATCATTGCTATGCTGTCTCTAACTTATAACTCGGTACAGTTTTAGTAACCTAACTCCTCGTTATATCATTAACAGCGGACGTTGCTGAAATATGGAACCTCACAGAGGCGGTTGCCAAAATACAAAAGGGCAGGAAAAGCGATTGGCGAATTGCTTTCAAGGAAGGCATTCAAATTGACAAGAAGGTGTTACAGGAGACTTTTAGTACACAACCGGCTGAAGATGATTTATACGCGGCAAGATATGATTTGAGCTTTTTAACACCTTCAGGAAGATCAATAAGATGCAAGGTAGGCTATGTAACATAAAGGAGCCTTAAAAGTACTGGAACATTACTATACGATTACTGTTATAAGTCGTTGGAACACACCCTACCTACTCCCCCCCACAACCCCCCACCTGTCGACCCGAATGCAACTTGGATATCGCAATGTAAAAGAAGTCTTTGTTCGATGCATTTTAGCTTGTAAACAACACTGAAAGATGGGAGTGTGAGGGAGGACGATTAAAAGGTAAATAGATAAAATGTAGATACTACTGTTCGTTCTAATTCTTCGCTCTTCCAATTTCTACCTGACTTCAAAAGGTCCAAAACGGCGCAGTTCACAAAATGAGTTACGTTCCCAAGACTAAATGCTTTTCACATTAATTTTCTTGCAGAAGCATTTAACCGGGATTACATGCTCCTGTTTCCTTGATATACACAGCAAGGCCATAAATTAAATGAAATAGCATATTCATTTTCAGTGGAACCTAACTGAAGTCTAGCAAATTAAAGGCGACACGTTGCAGAAATATTGAATAGGGCCTTTTACAAATGCGTTCAAGTCAACGGCGAATGTAAACACATAACTCTTGCTCTCTTCACAGGTGTGGGTCGCTAACATAGGTGTACAAAGAAAGCTAGAGGAACTTCCAATCCCATTTAGTGACGTTAGGAATATTATAGAGGAGATTCATCTTGAAGATGAGTTGACGAGATCACGATGTCGGGCATGGTTGGTTCTATCATCTACTAAATATCTTCAGGCAGATATATTATGTCCAGGTTGCATAGTCGACTACAGAATTATGATAAGACCAATATCAAGTGAGTTTTGGAGCTTTTTGTCTCATTTCCAAACAACAATTCGTAACGACAACCGCCAACAACAATGAAAACAGAACAGGGCACATGCAATTAATTACTCTGCTACTCTTCACTAGTGCTTTGCTCTGCTCATTCTTTATTTACGATTCACTTGAACTCATGAAGCGATTTTAAATCCACAACGGCCGCCCTTCAGCTTTGCACGCACTCTATCCATTTTACGAGTGCATCTCACCACTCTGTTCTCATGTTTGCTCGTCCAGTTATCAGTCATTTCAAAAGGTTGAACTTCGACCCTATCATTGAAATTGAAACATCCCTTACTACGAACTTCTACGAGGATCATCGTTTTTCATGAGAAAACGTCCGCTCTGAAATTACATTTTTATTCTCCATTTTCGTTTTACACATTTTCTGTAGCAACTAGAATTTTCTTTGTTTTGGGTTTCACGTTTCTCCGTGACCTCTGGGGATTACGTAATCTACTCGGTAGTACGTTTATGCATACCTTTGAATTCATTTTCGCCAGTGCTTGTTNACTTTGCACTTTGCCCGTAGGCCACCATTCTAATCTGCAAAATTAATATTGTCATCACTCGCTTTAAAGCCCACAACGATCTTTCACTTACAGTGTTTGTTGCTAGCGTGGCAAAAGTTAATTCAATTGGCCATTTTTTATGACGGAACCCAATCCCTTCCCTACCCCTGGATATCAATGTCACTGACCGGTAAATGTTGGTCAGTTTTCCGTGATTGGCTGCCTATTGAGAGTCAAATCAATTAGTCGTTCTTTTTGACATCCCTACGTTGGTTTTGTTTAGGTCGTGAATAAGTCATTTGTAAGATGCCAGTCCGCTATAGGGTGATTATTGAAATTGAGAGGCGTCTCGGTTCTAAGTTGGTCTGCCGCCGTTCCAAAGTCAGTCGGTAAAAACAGCTTGTAAGGTAGGTTGAGAAGTGAACAAAGTCCTAGTCAATTCTGTGATTTGTCCATTCTGTGGTTTCTCGCCAACAATACAGTTGGACCGCGCTAATTCGAACATGCATGGTTATTTGGAATGCTCAGCTATTTCGAACTCAAAAGCATTTCCCTTGCATTTGCCCTCCAGTCATTTACTATCGACTATTTCGAACTCCCGCTGTTTCGAACTTTTTTTCGTTTCCCCTGAAAGTTCGAAACAGCGGGGTTCAACTGTATTTTTCGTTTCCCCTGAGGGTTCGAAATAGCGGGGGTTCAACGGTACATGTTTTCAGAACTACTTTCGCCCAGATGATTAATCTAAATCAGTTATTATTAATATATATATATTTTTTTTTTAATGATTGACTTTAAGTTTAGGATATGGTACTATCAGACACATTTTCTACACAAAAACGTAACACTTACCACTCAAGTTAATTGTAACTTCTCTTCCCTTGGAAACAGGGATATTTCGAACATCAAGCTGCTCAGGCAACAGAGGGCCTAAAAGAGAATCAAAGGGTGAAGCCGTAGGGCAAACAGATAACGGAGGATATTTCGTGCAGGTGCGATGCTGATGCAAAACCCCGGACTGTAAACAAGAACACGTGATCGACACTAAAACACCCATCTGCACCTGAGCGATGCAGGAATAGTTGACGGCCGTACAGTTGATAACAAAATCAAGACTGGCATCCCAACCCAACCCATCAGTACCTTGGCAAATGACAATGCCATTCTTTACCATAGGTTATTAAAAACTTAAAATAAAGTGAAAACCTTTTCTCAGATCATGCTCTATCTTTCTCTATAATTGTTTAATTTCTTTTTTCTTTGGCGCAATTTACAACTTGCTTGGAGGCAACTTGCTTGGAGGCAGCGTGGCCGAGTGGTTAGGGCGCCGAACTTAAATCCTGGAGGTCGCGGGTTCAAGTCCCGCTCTGACCACCAAGCTAGAGTCGGTAGACCCTACATCGACTTCTCGGTCATGCTTGTATCTAAATAGCCAACTGGTCTGCCTCCCACCAGTTGGGATTTTTAAGCCTATTATGTTTTGTTGGTATATTTGTTTCTTGTTTAAGTGGCATGCCTGTGAACTAGCCAGTTGTAGCTTAGCGCATTGACCACGCACTATAAACAAAAACATTTTAACATATGTAACAAACAACTTAGTAAAAAATTTACTAGTACAAGCAAGTAGTACATAGCAATACAAAAAACGCTTACAAATTTGATGAACTAATACCCTTGGATTTATTGAAAGAAATACCTAAGAAGAACTTTTAAGTTATATTAAATGGCAATTCACCTACTTGAAGACGTAAGCTCCCAAATCTAGTCTCGTTCAGACTTTTTTTCAAAAAAAAATTGGTGTGTTTAGATAATCATAAGCATCGATCTCAATCTCAAAATGCCAGAGGCGCCAGAAAAGGGGATTATTGTGCTTGCTTCGAAAGGGAAGCGGGTTGAAGAACCATGATGTTTCTAGAAGCTTTTATCAACTTGTAATGTCATACAAAACCGCTTCATCATACTTTCAGCCAAAAAAAAAAGCAAAAACTGGAGGTTTTGCGACAACGAGGATGTATTCAACTTTAAAGGAGCTAGGTCACAGTCGCGCATGCGCGTGCAGTCACGAAACAGGTTAAAAGTTTTAGCCTCAAACTTTCAAAATCGTCGGCGAGGACGTATTCGTAACTTTATCGGAAAATATCTTCGCCATCCTTAAGTGGTCTATTCTTTTGATAGCGGTTATAAGTCAATTGATTGTTGTAGAGTATTTACATGTAGATTTTGGCTCGTGTTCGATGTTTTGTGAGTGAATTTTCGTTGATGTTGTGATGCAGTGTGATGTCTTCTCGAGGCGGTCGGCGATCTGCAAATGGTCGCAAGAGGATTTACACTTCAGTTTCTGAGGGAGTAACGTTTTGGTAAACAGGCCATCGAAGGATTTTGCTAGACTGCCGCTTTTATTCTTCGTCAGTATCTGCGATGATTTATGGCGAATATCGGAGTGATTAAGCGTTTGCTGGCCACCTTCATTCCCTAGAACGACAAAAGCAAGTACCTTTCATTTATCTTTCACGTGCAGTTTGCCACTTTGCTTGTACCGTTTATCTGGTCATTTTACATGTTTCCTATTCTTTTGCCTCTCACATAAAGGAAACTAAGTCAGTAGAGGAAAATACGAGACGAGAGAAGATACTGAAAGATAGCCCTTCCGTAAAATGACGGCGCCATGTTGAAGCTGAGCTGATAAGTACAACTGTAAACAAGTTACCACAAGCAACTTTGACTTTAATTAGAGGAGGAATAACTATGTGTAGTCGTTTCATTTAACTCATTTCGCCATTTTCTTATATATTTCCTTCGTAGTCAATACAACCTGTTTAATTATTTTGATGTAGTCTAGCTGGGCATATGAACTAGATTTTTCTACAAGTGAAATTTCCCCTTTCAAAACAAAAATAATTTGCCACTTACATTTAGTATGCCTCGCTATTCTGTATGGTTTACAAGTGTGTTATCTAGTGCATCATCAGGACTATTATTACTATAAACTCTTGGCTCTGTTGTTGTAAGGGTGGATGATCGGCCATGATCATAAAGGCCCAGTCAAGTAACTGACGTTTTTTTTCGGTCATCATGTCCTCCACATGTTGCATTTATTATCCAGATATACAAAATTCCCTTTGTGCTCTGCATCCTTGTCAGTAATGCTCAAAATTCAATTTGGCATGACTTTGCATTTATTTTGATAGTTGTTTTTCTTATATATATTTGTTACTGTTTTGTTTGTTGCATTCAAACATTGACTATATTATGCGGCTGAGTCAATAAAGTATATGTATGCATGTATGGTTAGTACGCTCGTCCCTGGAGCGAGGGGTCCGGGTTCGAGCCCTGGCCGGGAACACTGTGTTGTGTTCTTGGGCAAGACACTTAACTCTCACAGTGCCTCTCTCCAACCAGGAGTATAAATGGGTACCGGTGAATTGTTGGGGAAACCTAACAAATTGCGGGGGAGTGACCTGCAATGGACTGGCATCCCGTCCAGGGGGAGTAGAAATACTCCTTAGTCCTGGCCACTTCATGCCACAGAAACTGGGATAAGCTCCGGCAGCTGTGAGCCATCGGCTCCAAGGCTTCACTTATGCATATATGTACTGATTAATATGTGTTGTGTTCAATGTCTTTGTTGCAGAGAGGATATTGATGTTACAGCGAGTTCTACCAATGGTGATGTTACAGGCATATCAGCATCTTATTGAACATATAAGGAAGTCCTGTTTACAAGATATGGCCTCTTTTAGAGCATCTCCATGGGAACAGTTGTCCGTCAATACTGTCAATTAAATTATTTCTCTAATACAGTGTAGATGCTTAAAATCCAAATCGTCCTCAAACATACAAAGTGTTTATTTTTTACAATGTGTACCAATATTCTTTCATTTCAATGACATGATCAAACCAATTTTTACTTCTCTCCCACACT